TTTGCAAGGTTGACTCTTTAAAGTTAGTTGCTACTATTATTGAGAAGTGAAGGAGTGATTGAGTGATCGTTTGGAAATGGAAGCTTAAGCATCTATTACTTTAGTTTAATCATAAAAATGAAGAGCAAAGAATTTCTTAAGTTAATTTAGACAGCTTTTTTGGCTTACAAGCACTGCTACAAATAGTTTCTGATCTTAACCTCTTCCATATAACAAGATATTAATCTAACTTTAAGCCCATTAATCTCATGAATATTTCACAAATTGATTTAGCCATAAAATACAATGCCAAATTCCACACCCAATTTAAGCTCTTTTGTTCCTTTGCCCTCTCAAAAAACACACTTAACATCATAAAGGAGTGAGCGAGGGCGCTTAGTGCTTAGTTAGATTTCTGCATCTTTTGCATTTCTTCCTATTTGGTTTCATTTTTCGCTTGATTTGTATTCAATTGTTAGTTTTATGATTCATTCAAAAGTTTTCGGCATCATTAGACCGTTGTTGTTGTTGTTGTGTCGTTTCTATGACTGTATATTTGTATCTTAAATCTTTTACAATTCAAGCCACTCTCGTCGTAGTCGTCAACAATATCGTCATCGTAATCATCATCGCAGTCGCTGCTGCTGCTGGCAATTTTGATGACTCGACGCGATTGAAAGCGGTTATGGCTATGGCTATGGCCAGCTTTAAATGAGATCCCACCAAAATAACTCACCGGCTCCTAAAGCATTTTGCGGAGCTTTTTTTTGTGTGTTTTTTTTGCCATTTTTAATGTTTGTCTCATTTCACTGTACACTCGGAGAAAAATACGTAGCTAACGCGTTTGGTAATTACTTTGATAATGAAATAGGTAAAGTAATAAAGAAGTGGGTAGAAAGTGTGCTAGAAATTAGCATCTAAAAGGTGTTTGGTGACTTTAAAAATATTTTAAGAATTTTTCTACTTTTCTTATATTAAAAAAGTCGGAGCCTTACCTACTTTTTCGCTAAGTTTTATGAAGTTTTCCATCATATTTGTACATTTTTAACATTTAAGAACTTTATTCAGCTAAGAAATAGTTAAAATTTATGTTTTCTCTACAAATTTTCTTTCTCTGCAGGTCTTTCCCCCCTTTTATTTCTGTTGTCATGGGCCATTGGAAGTGTTTTGTTTTGTTTTGTTTTTTTTTTTTTGGCCATTTCGTTTCGTCTCGGTTTCAGTTTGAGTTTCAGTTTCATGTTCAGTTTTGTATCGTTTTTCTTGCTGATTTTGCTTATGCGAATTTAATTTACCGAAAGTGAGAAATGGTCACGGAGTTCGAGACCAAAGCCATAGCCCCGCCGCATCCTTCACGCGATCGTCGTCGTCGTCATTATAATGAGAAGCTTCGGACATGAACGCTAATTATGTTTATATGCGTCGTTGTCGACGTCTCTCTCTCTCTTTCTATATATAGTATATAATCTCTGCAAGTCAGCCAGTTAATGGAAACTTATTGTGGACCATTACCCATCCGCCCCGTTGGCGTCTTCTTTGTCAATTGGCCAGCAGCAATCGCATTCGCAATCGCAATCGCATAATTTGTTTTCAAATATTTATTTATTTAGCTGCGTGTGCTTGTAATTGCCCGATGGGGCATTGATTGCATAACACCATTTGCGGTGATTACGATGCGAAGTCTAATGTACATTCGAGACATCTCCCAGAAATCGTTGGAGAAAGCATGGCGAATACTGTTAAGTCTTCCTCGGAAATCAGGGGAAATGGAACGCCAAAACCTTTAGAGGCGAAGAAAATGCACATGCTCTGCAGGTCTCATGACGTTGTATAAGTAACAAAGACATGTTAGGTCTTGGCAATATACTTTTATAGGTATGAAACCAACAAAGTTAAGATTAAGCCAAGATAAAATATGTTCAAGTTACATTCCATCGATTAAGGTTCTCATATTGAATCAACTAAAAAGTGAAGAGATATTTCTAAATCTCTTGTTGGACGTAGATGCACTTTGAGAAGTACAAACAAGTGGCCCAACGACACCAAGCACAGGCTTGTTACCTCCTAGCAGAAAGCTATCTTTAATGGGAGAATATAGACTAATTATGTTTACTTTATAGCAAAGATATATTTCCAAATCTCTTGTTGGACGTAGATGCACTTTAAGAAGTGCAAACAAGTGGCCCAACGACACCAAGCACAGGCTTGTTACCTCCTAGCAGGCCTATATCATGTCAAAATATAAGTTCGCTGACAAAATAATCCAAATCTAATATACATATAGCAAGCCCATCGTTAATGGAAGGATGCAGACTAATTATATACAACTCAGATGCTTACAAATTCTTAGTTTCAAGACAGGGTAAGAAGTTCAAATACAAATTGGAAAGAAATTTGATGTACTTAATGGCAAGTTAAAAGGTGATGGGTTGGCCATCATTGGTAGACCTAAAAGGCACGTTAACTGTGCTAAACTTATCATATCTCATTAGGAACCTTACATAGAATTAAAACCTAACCAATCAATCACAAATCTAACTGGTTGACCAAAATCGAACCTAAAACAAATGAAATCAGTTTCCACCGCTCTGAATCTGTATCCTGTATCCTTCCCCTTTGGCTTTCATTTTTGGACAAACCTTTTTTCAGTGCCATTACCCACAGCAGCTTGTTCAACAAATTTTATGCATCAGAAGCCCGTACAAATATTGCCTTTATTGTTTTTCGCCTAACGCTCAAACATTTTCCTGGCCCTGAAGGTTTTTTTTCTTACTGTTGCTTTGACATTTTCCAAAAATACAAAAAAATTTGTGTAAAATTCTTCCCCGCTTATTCCGGGTTTTACCTGGGAATGGAAAGTACGTACAGCCCCATATCCCGCCGTTGTTGGACATAGTTCATTGTCGAATCCTTTGGACCTTCCTTCTCCCAGGCACTTCCTGGGTATTCCTTCACCCAAGTCCAAAAAAAAAACAGAACAGAACAGAATGGAATTCCCCAGAAGAGCCACATTCCGATGCTAATTCTAATTAAGCGCATTTGATGAAGTAAACGTGTCCCGCGTTTTTACTTCATAAAGACGAAAGGCAAAAGCAACAAAAATCCGAAACGAAACCAAACTGAAACTAAAGAATGGAGCGGGAAGAAATCGGGGAATGGGGCCGAAAAAAAAAGGAAAAACTCAGAGGGTTGAGCGGCAGATAAAATTTCAACGCGCGCTCATTAAAAACTTTTGGAACGGCAATAAAAAAAATACAAGAACAACAACAATAGAGCCCTGAAGATGAATAAATAAAATGAAATGTGTAAGACAGAGAGAGAGAGAGAGAGAGAGAGCAGGGAAAATTCATTGTCATTGTCAAAATAAATTTTTCTTTTGAAATCCATTAAAGGTTTCATTCGAAGGGAAATTGTTAGAAAAGTGCAAACGGCAAGCAAAATCCATTCGGCAAAAAAAGAATCCCAACCGAACCGCAGATGAAGAAGAGGAAAAAGGAAGAAGAGAAGTGGCCGGAAAAAATTGAAATTATTACAAAACTTTTGTGATTATCTCGGTTGCCCTTGCCTGGGCGCCATTATCCTTCGTCTCGGACCTCTCCAATCAGCCGTCGTCTTGGCCCAACAGCAGAGAAAAAAAGAAACAGAAGCCAAGTCAAGTTTGTTTCGCCCAATAACTGTCAATGCGGCAAGCGTTTGGGCGTGGCCATTCGCTCGATTGCCCGGACAATTGTTGCGCCAATGGGCCAAAGGATCAACTTTGGCCCGCTAAATCAAGCCGAAATGGTAAGGCCCTTCATGGGCGCCCTTTCTATAGGTAACTTTAGGATGGAGAAACTTCAAAGTCTGTCTAAAGTTAAGTTTGTTTTCTTAATTCTAAATAGTTTTCTATCTTCTATATATTATCAACATAAACTTGTTATCATTTCCCTATAGAAAACTTCAAGACCAAACACGATCAACATTTTCGAGTTCAAAACTCGATCAAAGTGAAACCCGGATGAGCTGCATTGAGACCCCTCTGTTAGTCATCTCCATTAAATCGCATAAAACTGGGTGATTTATCATGAATACGAATCCTATTAGCAGATTCATGGGGTATTAATAAGTTCCATAAATATTTAATAAACAGCTGGCCAGTGTCGTAATACCCTGTACGAAGCTAGGGTATAAAGCTTTCTCTATCAATGGCCAAAAACGGCCTTGCCGCCTGTCAGTCGGACTCCCCAAAAAAATCTCCAAAATACAAAAAATATATATCTTACTATATACTGTATATGTAGAAGGGGGCAAAGGCAGGGCAGGGCAGGGCAGGGCAAGGCAGGGCAGGGCGAGAGCCACTTAATATAGAGATTTATGCTAATCAAGCAAAAAGTATTTGCCGAGAGGCGTCTTCTCTCAACTTCGTCATCTCAAATGGAATGGAATCGAGGGGAATGGTTGCCTGGCCTCCACCTTCTCCTCGTCATACTAAATGAAAGTGAAAATTCTTATGTAATATGCTAATATTTCTTGCCGCGCCTTGGATTTGCAGTTGCTGTTGCTGTTGTTGCTGTCTGGATTACGAGAGATTTTTATAATTTTAGATTTATGGAAAGGGACTGGGACAGGGACTGAAGCTGGGACTGAGACTAAGACTAAGACTGAGACTGAGACTGATGAAGAAAGCGCGGAGGAACCCTGAGAAGTTTTTCTACTTTTTTTTTGCTGTCATCTAATAATCGCCAACGAAATTTCCAGAGATTTGTTTTTATTTATCAAAAGAGAGACGGAGAGAGAGGGAGATATGAATTTTTGTTTATTTATTTTCGGCATTTCTTGGGCCCTATTTCGGTTTCGGTTTTCTGCTCGAACTAATTAATTTAAATTTAAATGTGCGTGTAAATGGAAAGTTGTCTCTCTCCCTGTTAGAAAATATCCGTTTTTTTTTTGTTTGTAAATAATTTATTAAGCCACATAATTTGGGATTAGATAATGACAACAACAACAACAACAAAAACAACAAACAAATCTGTAGTATCTGCATGCATATCGGATGTAGATGCGTATTTCGTGCGCCGATTATGGCTGCGTATTAAAAATCAATTAATCTGGAGAGAAAACATTCATTATGCTAATATATCTATATATCGCTGAAAAGGGAAAGGGTGGTGGGGAGGGAGGTAAGCCAGTGGAACTGCGACAATTGATAAATGAGGCAGCAACAGCAACAGCAGCCACAGCGAGTAGGTGAAATGAAAACAAAAGCCATGAATTAATTGAACACATTTTTAATGCCTCATAATCCCGGCGAACAAGCAAGCTAGCAGCTAGCAGCCCACCAATGCAGCTGCAGAATGTATTTAATTTACGGCTTAGACCGAAAAAAAAGAAACAAAACAGAAATTAAATCATGTTTTGCCCAAAAAAAAAAAAAAAAAAAACAGGGCTAAAGTTTTTGGCAGCCAAATGTAATGGCTGGCTCGGCATTTTGTTAAGCTCATTAAAACAAGGCTTTAATGATAATCGCAGAGTTGTAAATGTAGTTTGAAAATATTTATTTATGAAATTATGAAGTTAGTTAGTTGGTTAGGTCAAGTGGGGGGCAGGCTAGGCTAAATATGCTTTATGTTTGATTTTTATTATATTTAAAATTAAGCAGAAAACAAAAATAAAGATAACTTTTCTTCCATTTCAAATATTGATTTCCCTTTTCTTGCAGTTCTTAAATCAATATAAATTAACATTAAACATTTAATAAATTTTATATTTTTCTTTGCTAATTATAAAAACTCAATTAAAACACTCGCAGGTGGGCCGCCTCAGTTTCCCCCATTTAGACAGTAATCAAAGCGAACAGCATTCGTTTCTGGTTTTCAAATAATTTACTTAATTTAATGTTGCATTTCGCGGGAATTTGATTTAAAAATTAAGCTGCCCACAGCTAGCGGGCGGGCGTGTCATTTTAAATCGATTGAATAAATAAATTAAGGCAAAAGTGCAAACAAATCACTCGGCAATCGGCAATCGGCATTCGGCTCTCCCGTACTCTCCACCTCAGTAGGGATTATTGCAGCAGCAGTTCTTGATGAGGGCGTGCTCGTAACAGGATTTGGCATATAGCAGCGAGCAGTCGTAGTACAAACACTGGGGCGGTCTCAACTGTGGGGCACCGCCTGCGGGTTAAAACGACGATGACGATGCCAAATTGAATAAAATTAATAAATGCAAGCAATTAACAACAACAAAAACAACAACAAAAAAGCAGAAAAAACAACACAACACCGCCTGCACATAAATAAACAAATTGTCGCCAAAGGCCACAGGCCAAAGGTCCGAGGAGCCTTTGATTAATTACCTGGAAAATCACAGCAACAGGCATCGTGCACCATCTTGTGGGAGCAATATGAATAAACCGACGAATCGCACAGCGGGCAACCACCACCGCCGGGCGGCTGCTGCGGTAGTGCTGCCGGTGGCCCATAGCCCTGTCCCGGATATCCGGCAACGACGGGTCCCGGGCCACCGAAACCAGCTCCGGAACCAAATGAGGGACCACCCAGGCCATTGCCAAAATTCTGGCCACCAAATTGACGCGCTAACAGAGTCATAAATTAGTTATTTGCTGGGCTAGGTCTTAGTTTTGGCTTTAAATTGGTTAGAAACTCTCTTTATTTGGCTTTAAAAGGGAACATTTTTGAATTTTTTATCTCTTTACAGATTTTTACTTAAGATTTTATAAGCTCAAATTTTATGGCAACTTTTTGGATTTTTAGCATTTCTTTTAAGTGCATTTTTGAAGCTTATTTTTGATCATTTAACATTCAAGATTAATTCTTGGTTTAAATCAAACAAATAAATAAAAATATTATACATGAAAAATTAAGTAAATTTAGGAAGTTAATATCATTTTTATATACTGACTTTTAAGTAGTTTTCAAATATTTTTAGCAAGCCAAATAAACTGACAAACCACTACTAGCCACTCGCCAACTTACATGAACTCTCCTGTTTAGCGACTACCAAAACGATAGCCAAAATAACGATCAGCAGAACAAAGACCACACTGCGTATGCCTAACATTTTGAGTGAATGAAACTCAAAGAGATCGTTTAGAAGAAAAATATAATCAAATATCGAATATCGAATATCAATAGCCGAGTGACCGATGATGCTGATGCTGGAACTGCCAGACGTCGACTGCAACAAAGGAAACCTTTATAAAACGAAGATCGAGTGTGGCGGACGGCTGTCTGCCGGGGCGTCATCGAGATGCGGCTTTCGCTTTCAACTTGTGACAAATTCATATATAATTTGATTTGATTTGATGGCTCTTCAGAGACAGCACGACACAACGGCCAAAAGCTCAACTCAAGTCCAAATGACACACGACAGTTGGTGGTGGCTAAGATCGAGGGGATTTCAGCTTTCCAGCAGTAGACCAAAATCCAAAAAAATAAACCTCGAAAAACCAATGAAAGTTACGGGGGCCGTAAAGACAAAAAAAGGTGAACCAAATTTTATTTCTATTCGATTTCATTGTTCGATTCCCATTCGATTGGTGGTCGTCTCTTGTCTGACAACTTGATTGGCAAAACTCAGCCGAAAAACTCCCACGCAGTCGGATTCAAGAAATTTTTCAAGTTTGACACATTTTCTCGATTGGCAGCGAGAAATCAATTCAGATTTTTTGTTGAGATTTTTAAGTTTACCACTAGCGCCGCCGCCACCACCACCACCTGCAGCTGCAACCTTTTCAACTTTTACTTTTCTTTCCACGTCGTCGTCTTCAGCTGTTAATTGCTTCATCTGAAGCATCCATGAAGCTAGCTATACCCCACATCCCATCCCAATCCCAATCCCATCCAAAAGTTATTTTCCCAGACTCGCGGAAGCGTTCGCGTTCGCTTATGTAAAATTAATAAGACATAAAATAAATTTCGAATTATGCGCATAAAACAAACATCAGAAACGGTTTTTTGTTGTTTTCGATTTGAGTTTTGGGTTTCGGGTTTCGGGTTGTTAATCGCTTAAAGCGAAACGCCAAAAGCAAAGTAAAAGTGTTTCATATTTCGATTCGAGTCCAGAGAGTTGCTAATTGATCTTCAGTTGATCTTACAATCTGATCTCTTTTCCCATTATGCTAATGGATTGCTAGTGCAAAAATCACATTCTAGGACTCATGATGATCTATCGTCTGCGAATCTCAATCGGATTTGATTTTGATATCTAAAGACTTTCTCTCAGGTCGGCAGGCGAAAGTCCCTTGGAAACTGAAACTGAAACCGAAATGGCTCTCCCAAAGGTAATTTCATTTAATTAACTGACACCGAGAGCAGCGACAGCTGCTTCTGACCAGTGAATTGAGCCCGGTGGTTTAAGCCTGGTCAAGCGATGAAAGCTGGAGCCCTTTTAGTTTTGGGAAAACCAACAAATATGATATGTAACTGGCGTTTTCGTTCGTTTTTAATTTTAATTTTCATTTCGATGTTGATTCCCCCCTCCCCCCATTTGCATTTGCATCTGATTCGAGTGAGTATCTGTCAGTACGTGTATCTCGTTATGTGTTCCCCATCGTCGTCGCTCTGTGTTGATTATCTTGTAAATTTGTTGCACGTTTTTGATGCAAATCCGCTTGTCATGTCGACACTCAGGCACACACACACACACACAACGCACTAACAACACACCAACATTCGGACACAAAAAGTTACACAAGTGATGTCATCACCTGCTGCAGATGTTGATGGCGATGCAGATATATAGCATGTAGCATATAGCATATAGCATATATCCCCTTTCGAGATACAAATGCGTACTTGCAGATAACAAGATGGATGGGCCGCCGCCCTCTATTCAGATCTCACGCACGCCGTGTCGTCACAACTTCAATGAGGTAAAAGTAACCACACGTTAATCTGTAAGCCAGTCACTTCGGCAATTTGTATCTGTACATCTGAAGGTTCAACTCGAAAAACGAGTGCAGCTCGTTGACAAATTTTTAATTCACGGCGCTAAGTTATGTGAAATACTCGAAGGTTTGCAATAAAGTTATTAAATTTAATGTGTTAGTTGAGAAATTTTGTTGAGAAATATTTTACTTCAATTTGTTTGACAGTTTTAAGAGCAGCAAATAGCTTTATAAAATATATTTATAAGGCAAAACCTTCATCTCCCTATCCTTAACCGAATCTCAAATGAATCTACCATCAATAATCTTAATTTCTAAGCTCGACTTGCAAACCATAAAAGCAAGTAGAAGTAGTTTTTCCTTTAAAATATCTTCATTCTATGGAAACCCCAAAAAATATCTTAGAAAAAGTGAAGAAAATGTGATTAGTTTCTGGCCTAATAGCTGCTCTTCCCCTTCCCCCTTTATAATTCAGTTTTCTTTAACAAGCTTAACCAGTGTAGTACAGTGGCGATCGAGCGGCGGCGCTAGCGTCGCTACCTGCGCGTATCTGATAGACGCATGTGACGTAACCGCAGACGAGGCATTACTTTTACCACGCGCGTCATCGTCACATCTCTCTTCCTCTCTCTCTCTGAATCTACCTCTCTATATCTTTGGCTTATTTATTGGTTTTCGTTTCGTTGGAATTTATCTCGACTCTCTCTCCCCTTGTGTCCGAGCATCTTGAAGTTCGTGTTCGTCTTGTGGGTAAACAGGTCACCTTCTGCTTCTTGTCCGACGACGACTACTTTCCAGTCCGCGATGAGTGACCTCAATTAAACGCCTGCCACGCCCAGATACCGCACCTGCGTAACCCCCCTTCCCCCTCCTTTGACGCCCTTTCACTGCCTCACTACATCCTATACCCCCCACCTTTTACCACCTTTCGATTGCCCATTGTCGAAGTTGACCACAAAAATGGATGAGATGCCGCAACAGAAATTCCTTTCTGGCCAATTCAGAGAAGGTGGTGGTGAAAGGGGCCACCGCCTCTGCCACCACCACCACCACCACTTGGGGGCATGTCCACAAGGGGCATATGCAAAATTAAACTCGTAAACAACAATGCAACGCACGACAACGATGAAATGGCCATCGAAAAAGCATTTTGTTTTGTTTAAAATATTTATTTGTGGCCGCTTTGATTTACGACCCATGGTATATGCCGGGCTAAAAACCAATTGGCCCTGCCGCCAAAATGCTACGGCAATTGGCAATGGCAACCAACCAGTACCAGTGCTAACTTCCGCCCTGACCATATTCCATATTTGAAAGTGTGAATGGCGATTAGTTAACTAGTGGCTGTAATTTGGAAGTGCAAATATGGATATATATATATGGGAAATATCAGGGAATTGCGACGTGAAATTTAAGGGGAATTCTAATTTAAAATCAACATAGAAGTGGCTAGGTTATTGGCCTTTTAAAGGCAGTTTTGGGTTAACTACCAATGGGTTAAGGAAATTATTAAAAAATATTCTCGTAGTTTAGTACTCTAAGAATCAGTAGTTCTGAGACATTTTTAAGTCAGAATATATTTAGCACAGGCTTATTAAAAGTGCAGCTTAGAGCCACCTTTTGGCTATATAAAAATGTATCTATTTTAATGCAGATACAAGATACATTCTAATGCTGCTTACTACAAAATGAAAACTTAAATTTGCCAACTTGTGGCAGTTTAAAATGAATCTAAAATTAGTCAAGTTAAGGCCTCTAAATATTTCTTTAATCTAAATATTAACTTCTTTTCCGTTCACATCCTCCTAAAAATCACAAACCCAAGTAAAGGCACTTAAATTTCCTTCACTTCATTTTCCTAATAATATGTTAATAATAAACAAACTTCTTTTCACTTTAAAAATCATCGCATTTCCCTTTAATTATGCTAAATGTCATGTAAAATTTATTATTACAACCTAAAAATGTTGTTTATTTAGAAAAAAGTTGGCTAACAAATGCCGTTCTGTTGGCCTTGTTACTACTACTACTACTATTATTATTATTATAACTATTATTGTTATTCTTATTGCTCTAGGATGGATGGGCATGTGTTGTTGTAATGACAAAAACCAATATTTGTGCTCTCTAAAAGTTATTGTTGCAAGTGCGAGGATGGTGGTGGTGGTGCCACACCACTGACGTGCTTGTTTATGTTTGTCCTTCCCATATTTACACAAGTTATTTGTTGGGAAAATGTAAAAAAAATGCCAATATTTAGACTAAAATAATATGCTTGATTAGGAAACGAAAATATATTTTCGAAATATTCATCTCATATATCAAAATTCGAAGCAGCAGCAAAGACAACTTTAAGCCATTTAATAGAGAGAAGGCCAGTAATTAAATTTGATTCTCAATTTGCAACTTGTGGCACTATCATATTGCCCATAAAGTAGATTCCTATCTCCCTGCCAGAGGGCTAGGACTGGATGATGCTCGGCTTCATTATTAAGACCATGAAAAATAAGACGAATTCATATGAAATCCTAAGGAATTCCCATTTAATGCCCTGCAGCAGGAGATAAACTGAAAAACTAAAATCTCTCCACTACATATACACAGCTAGTTTTCCCTGAGATCAGAGGGAGAGAGAGTGTGTGTGTAAAGAAAACGGGCAAACGCTTCTCTGCGGAAAATATGCAAATTAGCTTTATTATTTGACAGTTTCTATAAAATGCAAAAGCCACAAAAGGCACAGGCACAGGCACTGGCACTGGCACACTGGCACTGCCACCAGCAGCTAGCTAGCTACAACTTCATCAACGTCAATGAAAACTTTTGGAACGTTTCAGGAGGGGCAGTGGCAGTGGCGAGTCGTAAGCCGCCTGTCCCCGTCCATCCTCCAAGTGTTTTGCAGGACTGGCCAAACCCAAACCATCCATTTCCATTACCATTTTCCCCGGGAAAAGCGCACCCACATCGCTCTGGCTTATATGACAAACTGAAATGCAATAAACAAGTTGACAACTCTGACAATTTGGACAAGAGAAACATGTTAAATGCTTGGAATTATGACAAGGAGACGAGGAGTCGAATCCAGGACGAGAGCACAGTCAAAGTCAGGACACGCAAAAAGGCGATGGGCGATGGGCGATGGGCGAGGGCGAGGGTTGGGCTTTTGGAGTCCTAGGAAACGGGAGGAAAATGGCCAAATGAGAGCAAACAAACAAACGGCATAAAGAATAAGTAATAAGCATGCAAATGCGTCAAGAGAGCAACTCTCCAGTTGCAGATACAAAAGCTCGGTTACTGCGGCCATACCCACCATAGCTATGGGTATCTCATGGATAC